GCAGCTGATCGATGTTTCTCTCTCATCGATGTTTCTAACTCTCTATCCCTCTCCCTTCCTCTCTGTAAAAAATCAATAAAATATATATTTTTTTAAAAAAAGTCAGAGATATGAAGAGAGATTCAGTCAGAAGTAATGGTGAGTACTAGGACCAGCAAACCTCTAAATGCCCCCATTCTGCTTTGACAATTACTGTTCCTCAGGAGGTCTGGAGGTAGATATACACACACAGGAGAAAATAAATCTCCATTCTTACTAGCTAGACTGATGCAAACAGGCTGTCTTTAGCCAGGCCTGAAGCACCATGAATGGGGTGAGACCAAAGGACAGCTGTCCCTTTTCCAAGCCAAAACCCAAATCTTATCATCATTTGGACTCCAAGGGAGGGCAGTAGAGTGAAGAGATGAGAGTTCCAGAATGTGTGTAAGAGACGAGCAGAGAGAAGCACATGGCCAGAGGTCCTCTGGGCTCAGTGCCCACTAGTTGAGCTGTGCATTTGCCTTTGAAGGTGACCTTACAATGTAGTTAATGTAGTGACCCTGACCTCTAGTAATGCAGCCCAATGAGCATCCTGCAAGCTGGTTCAAGAGTTCAGTGTGCCCTCCTCTTGGGAAAAAGTAAAGAAAGGAGAAGGGAAGAAAGACAAGGCCTAAACTCCCTGAGGTGTGCCTCTCTCCAGATGCCAACAGCTCAGCAAGGTTCCATTTCATTTCAGCAAACAAGTTTTTGTTGTTATTGTTTTATGCCCATTATGGTCTCTGGGTTGATGAGCCAGTCCTCAGAGCATAGGGAAAATTACACGGAGAAAAAACATTATGGATGCGTGCCTCCAAACTGTGGCTTGTGGAAACAGCACCATAATGTCTTCTCTATAATTTCCCTTCTCGTGTTTATGTTACCTAAACTAGTAGTTCATCCTCAGCTTCAAGGTCCATGGTTTGGAGGCGATTTTCCTTTATCCCACTGTCCCCTCTTTCCAGGGATGTCTCCATGAATGGAGAGCAAACTCTATGTTTCTTTTCCATTTTTACACTTGCATGTTATCCTTTAAATAGGTGGAACAGTAGTAGCTCTTAAAACCCAACTGGGACAAAACCCCCATTTGAAAGATGAGAAATTTGAGGCTCAGAGGGGCCAAATGGCTTCTTGACCAATTCCACGTGTCTGCCTCAGAGCTCAGTACTGTATCACACTGCCCTAACCACAAGTAGGGGTCTCATAACAACAGCTATGCACCAATATTTGCAAATTACGTGTATATGTGTGAATAAATATAAAACAATGTAATATATACTCCATTCGAGCAGTGTACTACCTTCATGACATATGGTTGAGTCTAAAAAAAACAGGCATGGACCAATATGTATAGCATAATCTCATTTCTGCTCCTCCCTTCCCAACAAAAACAGCAGCCTGTGGGTGTGCTTCTGTGCGACTGTGTCTATGAGTGTCTATGTGCAGATTCCCACATGCATAGAAAAGGTCCAAGGTATGCTCACCAAAATTGTTAACAGTGGATTCTTCTTGTGGGTAGGAGACTTTCATTCTTTTACTTATTATACTTGGGTATTGCTAAGTGTTTTACAATGAGCATGTTGCTATGAGAAAAAGACACGAGTGAGAGAAAAAATAAGACACTCGTGAGAAATCACAGTAGCTGCCATTCACTGAGTACATAATATGAGCAAGGCACTATGCTCGGTCCTTTACATGAACCATCTCATTTCATCTTCATGGCTCTAGAGCGTGTGACTTTCATTGTACCCCAGATAGGGAAACTGAGGCTTAGAGAGGACATCCAGCCAGGAGGTGGGAGAGCTGGGACCTGAACCCAGGACTATCTGACAGGAAAGCCAAATGCAGATTATCTCTGCGATGCTTGTGTACTGAGTAGATAAACATCATTGTTTATTCTGAGTTGCTTCACAGCAGAAAATCACTGTCAGCTGCCATGCTATTGAACTAAGGCAACTTGGGTATCTGCTGCCTGAGCTAAAGGCCCCTCCCTCTCTCCTGGCCCAACCCCCCTGCTCCTCCATCCTCACCATTCTTGGCAATCTCTCCATGTGCGAATTCCATTAAAGGCCTGCTCATTGCTATTTTGGGCCATGCATTAGCACGTGGGCTTTGATTTGATGGGAGAAGTCCAGACACCTCAGGATGATGAAAAAGACATTAGAAATGTCTTCTCTCCCCTCAGAGTGCCAGAAGCTCTTGCCCACAGCTCCCCGGGGCACCCATGAATCCAATGTAAGGGAAAATGTATAGCGGTTGGGAAGGGAGAGAAGAAACCTTCATAATCTATTAGGGCCTTTGAACTTGGTTGTCCCTTCTCCTTGGAATAGCCATCCCCTAGCCATCCACATGGCTCATTTTCTCATCTCCTTCAGGTCTTGACTTAAATACCAATTCACCACCAAGCCCTTCTCTGACCATCATTCTGAAACGGCACCTCCCTCCCCATCCCTGCTCTCTGAGCCCGTATGTTCCTTTGTTTCCATAGCACTTGTCACCAGACATACTACACATTCACTTGTTTATCTGCTTACTGTTCTCACCAGCAGACTATAAGCCCCATAAGGGCTGAACTGTTTTATTCACAGCTATATCCCCAGTACTGACACTGGTGCCTGCACTGCTATAGATGCATAGGAGATGGAAAAAAAAATGAATGAATTGAGGAACTTAAAAAACAGACTGAGGAGTCGCTTAGCACAGGGCCCAGTTTCCCCTCAAATATCATAGGATTATAAAAACTTTAACAGAGAGATTTGAAAAATCAGAAAAGCATCATCCCCACCCCCAAGCTGTTTTGCATCTGGCCTCGCACGCACCATGAATGAGAAGGCTTTGGGAAATAAACACAATAGGAAGTCGTGTGCAGTTGGAGTTCCGCTTACTAACACATGTTCAAAAACAAAAAGCCCAATTTAGACGAAAATAGCAGGAAGCTGTCCCCCGGGATACCTGATGAGGTCATAGTGCTTGACGCTGCTGTTTCCATTTTTGTCAAGTCTCCTGCCTCCTGCCAACTCAAGGAGCCCAGGAACCACATCCAGGCCCCTGCCGCTCACTGGGAAGCCAGAGAGCTGCTCAGAGCAATACACAATAGAACCACATCCACGCACTCTCCTTAACTTCAGATCCAACCCAAGAACACAGAGGATCCTACTCTCACCTCTCTCGCTTACCTGCTGTGTGGCCTTAGGTAAGTGTCTACCCCTCTCTGAGTTGAAGCTTCTACATCCACACATAAGACAGTTGTACTCAGTGCCTTCCCACTACAACTTCCTATGACCTCTTACAAAGGCTCCAAAACAGACGGGAAGGACGAATGCTGGGATCCCTACTTGGCAAGTCCAACTCCTAAGGATTTGCCCATGACAGCAACCCCACCACTCGGACTGCCCAGAGGAAGCTGGGGGGTCAAATACTCCAGTTGGGGGCAGAATGGAGCAGATTAGACTGAGTGGCAACAGGGAGCATTTAGCCCAGAGCTAGAGGGCTGGGACCATGAGAAAGTGAAGCAGAGCCCTGAGAGAGACTGTCAAGAACAGACCCTCTACAGGCCTTTTCCTGGAGGACACAGGGAAGACTATGCAAGGAGAAATCGCAGGCATGCAGAGCCGGCACCCTTTGGGACAGAGGCAGCCAGGTCTGTTCCAGGGAAATGGGACAAAAAGAACACATTCTAGTTCATAGTCTAGAACAGTGGTCGGCAAACTGTGGCTCTTTGGCCCCTTGAGTGTGGCTCTTCCACAAAATACCGACTTCTGCGCATGGGCCACGAAGTTTCAGTCGCACTGTACGTGCGCCCGCACGTGGTATTTTGTGGAAGAACCACACGCAAGGGGCCAAAGAGCCGCATGTGGCTCGCAAGCCACAATTTGCCGACCACTGGTCTAGAACATATTCTCAGTCAAGCAAAAATGACTGAGATGTCTAACGTTCTGTAGGCAGAGGAAAGGCGTGGATGAAGCCGCATTACTGCGAGTGCTCAAGTCTCACTTCTGCCACTTTTCCGACTCCACCCACCCTCCTTTCGCAAGGGACCAAAAGCCCAAATTTGGAATAATTTATGTTCTCGCTTTCCACCCAAGCTCAGCAGCCTTCCCATCCTTCTGGTTTTGGGAAGGCCCCCATCCATCCCTTTCTTGGCAGTAACGCGTTTGATTACTCATCTGCTTCCGGGGCGGCTGCCAAGAAGAGATGGGCAGTTGTCCGAGCCCGGCAGCCTTATCTGCAAGGTCTGTGTGGCAGCATCAAAGGGGGACCATTGGCGGGGAAAGACCAAAGGCCTCCGTGGTCTCCAGGCCAATGAAGGAGAGCTCTCCAGCGGCCAAGCAGATTGGGAATGGCCCAAGAACAGGCAACAGACAGGGCTATGCATTATCTATTCACCTGCTCCATAACATGAATCAAGATATAACTGTGCTTGATGGCAAATCAATGTGGAAATATTTCTGACTCAGGCCACCACCCAAGATGAATGCGGTTAGAAAGATGGAAGAACCAGCCCAAAGAAGCCAGGAGACTGCTGACCATGCCCCTACTGGCAGAATCTCGGATTTAGCCGACCCCGAACAGATAGAGCAGCCAGGGTTGAAGGTGCAAATCCCAGAACACTCCGCTTTGCCTCTCTCCTCTCTGTTTTCCTCTAATCTCCTTCGCTTCCTGCCATGCCCTGTGCTGCAGCTAGTGAGACAGCTGCTGGAGTCCTCCAGACCATCCCTCCCTCATCACACACACACACACACAGTGAACTCTAAGAAGCAGCCCCGGAAATACAGCCCATTAAACAGTCTAGCAATTTCACAGCAAGTCAAGAGATTGTGGAAACACTGTATTTGCAAGAGGATCTGCACAAAGAAACCACAGATTGAGAGCCTGGGTCACTTCGCTAACGCTTCCTTCCAATCCTTCCAAAACAGCAGCACCTGTGTCCGGCATTGACATGGAAGTGAATTGTTTCATTTTAGACAAAGGAGGACTCCACTTACTCATTCTTCTCCAGGTCCAGGATCAGCTCTCGCCCCTCGGCCATTACCCTGAGCTCAGCTTTGAGTGGATGCTGAAAGCAACAACAAAAGAATGTCAGTTCCTAAAAGCAGGGTGGAGGCTCCCAGGAACACACACAGGCTCTAGCTCAGCCCTCTGACATTGATCCACAGGAAGTGAACGGGAAAGGGTCAATTGCATTCCCAGCCCAAACATAAAATAGCTGCAATCCCAGAAGGACCAATTTCCCTCCCCCATCTGCCTGCGCCTAAAAGACAAAGGAAAGAAACTCCCGAGCTGAAATGTGCTGTAAGTGCTTGCATGCAGATCTGATAAAGGCAAATGCTGGAAAACGTGATCTTCAGCAGCAAATTCTGTGTGGAGTCAGATCTGGATTCAAGTGCTGACTCTGGCACTGCTGTGATGTGAACTTGGGCATGTTCCTAAACCTGCCTACAACTCAGTTTCCTTACTTATAAAACAGATAATAATAGCCAAACGTACGGGGCTCTCAAAAGGATTAAGTGGCATAGTGAATGCAAAGAATTTATCTGCATATAGGAAGCCCCCAGTACATGGTGGCTATTATCTAAAATACCAGGGAAAGCCCCTTCATAATGCGTTCTCATTTTACATTATTTTGTTTTGGCTCCCAGTTTAAATAAATACCCTAGTCATCTCAGAGGAGACAACTAGGAGCACTTCAAACTAAGGTTTTATAAGTCCAAAAGAAGATACATTTTACATATTAGAGCAAATTTGCTGATGCCTAAAGTTGTTATACACCCAGCATAGGTCATTTACGATATCATACAAGAAAGTATGTTCAACATCACTAGTAACTAGCCACCTCTAATTTTTTTTTAAATACCTTTAAAAGAAATCAAAGTGACAGATTTTTAAAACCATGAATCATAGTGCAACAGAGCACACTATAAAGTGGGCACTGTCATACCTACCAGTGAGAATTCAATTTGACACCACCAACTCTGGAAAATATTTGACAGTATGGACTAAGAGTTTTAACGGTTTAGACCTTCTGACCCAGTAATATAAGACTATGTCTGGAAGGAACAAATGGAAGAATGGGCAAAGGTTTATTATATAGAAGGATGTTCATTAAATACAACCCTGAATAATGAAATATAACCTAAATGTCCAAATAGGAGAATGGGTAAATAAACAATGATCCATTCATATGACATAACACTAGACAATCATTTAAATAATTTCTAAATTATCAAGAAGCTATACATGATAACCATTAGGCACAAAGACTCAAAATATAACACTATATATTTTATTTAAATATACTTTTGTAAAAGGAAAAAGAGAAAAAAACCTAAACCAGTAAGTTACCATAGTTACCTCCAGGCAATGGGATTATGGGTTAATTTTATTTTCCTTTGTGTAATTTTCTATGTTTTTATCATTGCTTAAGAAATGGGCTTTTATCTCTTTTTACCTCATTATTGTGGACACTTTCAAAGAAATTAAAAATCGAAGTCAAAACAAACTTCCATGCTTCAACAATTCAACATAGGGTGGGTAAACTATTTTTGAAGGAAAGCTTATTTATTTAAATCAGGGTATTTACATATTTAAACCTGTTTAAAACAGCACCAATTCTCTGGGGTATTTTAAATATATGCTCTCTAACTTGATACCAAGACACTGATAAACTCTTGAAGTCTCTCTCAATCCAAAAAGCTCTACTAGAGTGAAGTCTCTGCCCCTTTAAAGGTGAACCTAAAACCTTCGTTGTGGTGTCTGAGAAAGTAGGTCACCTGCTTCGTCCGCCACTTCTGGTTGGGGATCTGCCTCTTCCAAGCACATTTCCTCCTCTTCTTTGCCTCAAAACCCACTTCCCATTAGAGTCCTGGGCAACCCCTTCAGGGCTCTGATGAGATCTGAACTTTCTGATCCAGGATGCTTGAGCAACCCTGTCCTTTGCTTTTTTCTTGGCTAATTTGTCCTATTGACTTCTCTTAAGAAGTACATTTCAAAACTATGGGGAGAGGAAGTTAGGTGGATGCTTGCCCAATAGCTTTCCACTAAGGGATTCACTTCTCTGTTTCTGGTGTCCTGCTTCAGCTCTGCCAACACGTGTCTATTCTGGTTGCTGGTCCTTTGCCACTTTACTCTGGGGAGTTCTGGAGCAAGGGCCCTGTGCAATCACATTAGGCTTCAGGGACACAGTCCCAAGTGGTTATCTGAGAATAAGCACATGGTGACAGAGCTGCAGCAATCCTCTTATCCAAGAGGCAGGTGGCCATGTGACAGCCCACACAAAAAAAGGAAAGCTGATAGAAATTGGAAGCACTGTCTCCTCTCCCCAACAGAGACACAAGCTGCAACAGGAGGGCAAATATTTATCTTTAAGTGGGCCATCCAAATATATTTCTTTCTGGTCTGGAAGATGCTCAGACACTGATATTTTTAAAAGATGATGTTCCTTGTTTCCAGGAGACGTTTCAAGCAAAACAATGAAGCAGCATTGCAAGGATCTACACAGCTTCCCCGTCCAGCTTTACCCAGCTTTTCCCTTTCAGCTCCACTGTGTGCTTGGAATGGGTGATGTCACTTCTCCTAGGGAGCTGACCCACTGCTATATTGACCCCGGAGAAGGGTTAAAATTCCTTTCACTTTCGTGCTGGGTTAAATAGGTCTTCAGCTCCACCAGGTATTGGAAATCTGTCCTATGTATTGCATCCTCGTTAAGATCTAGTATGATATTTACTATACAGTGAGTGTTCAATTGATGTTTGATGAATAAATTATGTAAATGAGAATAAGAGGCATGAGTGAAACCCACCTTCCCTCCCTCTCCCTCTCTCTCTCTCCATCCCTTCATTTGTTCATTCAAAAAATACTTATGGTGCCAGGCACTGTGCTGACTATTCGTACAAAATGCAATGACCCAGATTCTGGGCAGACAATGGCTGGGAACAAAGACAGGATCTGGCACGCCACTTTGTTTCTCAAACCCTTCCTGAGGATGATGCCAGGCATCCCACATCTGGAAAGAACAGAGAAGCCTCTACAAAGAGTATCAGAGACAGTGCTCGGTAATAATGGGTAGGCTGGACTAATTTTTAAAAATAACCTGCTCAAGGCTGGTCATCCATTAATTTGTCTAGACTTTTCCTGAAGCTATTTTCAGCCTTTCTTACTTTTTGATGAAATGAATCCCATGCACTCATTGTCTTTAGGGTAAAATGTTACTTGCTTTGATTTATCCTAACATTTTCTCTGTAAGTTTTCTTAGCAAATACAAATTGGAGCATTTTTTTGGACATGTCTGTATTACTCGAACCATAACTGTAAGGATTCTAGGCATTGTTCCTCTCTATTTACCTTTCTAGACTCAAAAGCCACAGTCTGAAGTCTTATCTGACATAGCTCTCTCCTCTCTCTGCTACTGTAATCTTGCGCTCAGATGTTGCCCAATAAATCACTGATCCTTTGAACCCAAAGGGATCTTATTCACTACCCCTGCTCCCCAGCCCTCTTCCTTCTTATTCCCTCTCAGCCCTATTTTCTAAATGAGGAAACAGAGTTCACAAAGTGGGAGGTCAACAATCACATCTTCCTGTCTAGCTCTCCCATGTAAAGCCAGAGCCACAAAGAATATCCTAGATGCACAGGCCCTCTCTGCAGGCACAGGATAGTGTTTTCTGACATATTCCCAAGCTCCTAGATAAAGCCTGTGTACTTGCTGGTGTTGTGGCCCAAGATGCCTATTGAATTTTAAGATATACATTCCCCAGTGAGTCCTGGGTCCCTACCTGAACTCTTATTAAAAAAATTGGAGGCCTGGTGCACCAAAACGTGCACAGGTGGGGTCCCTAGGCCTGGCCGGCTATCGGGGCCTGCTGGCGGGGAGGCGGGGGGAGGGGGTGTGGAAGGACCACAGGAGGTTGGCCGGCCACGGTACGTTGCCTGTGGGAGCGCACTGACCACCAGGGGGCAACTCCTGCATTGGGCGTCTGCCCCCTGGTGGTCAGTGCACATCATAGCTACCGGCTGGTTGTAACAGTCGCTTAGTCTTTTATATATATATATATATATATATATATATATATATATATATATATAGAAGGGTTTGGATTAGCATTTTCTCTCCATGTACATTACCTCATCAATAAAACGAAGCATGTATTACGCAGAGCAAAAATAACAATGGCGATATTTAATTAACTCCAATAGAGCCAGTGATTTTTGTGACACATATTTGCACTTAGCTTGTGTCAGCATTAATGTGGATTTTCATTTCCTCAACTAATAGCATTTGGAAGAGTTCTAGAAGTGTGTCACACGATGAAAGAAAGTCCCATCTGGGATTTCAAAAGTGACAAGTAGACAGGATAGAGTGGGTCAGAAACAGAACTAACGGTGATGACAGGGCCTCCAGGAAAGTCGAGTAGGTGGCCCCCACCCTCACAGAATGATGTTGTCAACTCTTGCCTCTAAAAAGGAGAACTTTTGGTCTTACCTTTTCTCCCATAGGGCCTTCTGCAGCCTTCCACTGAGGTATTATTAGTTCATGCTGTGGCTGGGGGCTGCCTTCCCCTCTTCCTCCTGCCAACACAAGATGCACAACCATTGGAATCCCAGACCTCTGCACCCTAGCTTAGCCACATGCACTGTGACTGAGAAGAACCCCATACTGGGTCATTAGGAGACCTGCTGGATTCCAGGCTCTTAGCATTTACTATGGGTCAGGCACTCTGCTAGGTGTTGGCAATACTGTGCTCAACAGGGGTAGCAAGGGCTCTGTACTCCTCACAGTTTATCTTCTAGAGGTGGGAGATGGACAACACGCAAGTATTCTCATATGGTACAATAGGGTCATGGAATAAAGAGACACTGAAGGAGGGAACCCTATTTTAGACAGGATGGTCAACAAAGATGGCATTTAATTGAGACCCGAGGGACCAGAAAAAAGGCAGTCGTGCAAAGATCTGGAAGAAGAGGCCCCAGGTAGAGGAACCACAGGCACAATGGCCCAGTGTGAGCAGAAGTGGAGTTGGCCTGTGCAAGGAAGCAGCAGCAGATAAAGGTAGCTGGAGTCTAGTTAATGAGGGGGAAGTTGGTAGGAGACGTGGTCAGCAAGACAGCCATGGGTCTGGTATCACAGAGGCCATGGAAAGTGTCTGGATTTTATTATAAATAGACTTGGAAAGTACTGGAGGGTTTAAATACAGAGCAATATGATCTGTATGCAGTTTTTAAAAGATTGTTGGGCTTGCTGGGTGGGGGAGAGGGGAGGAAGGGAGAGTAAAAGCAGAAGGCAAGGCTGGAGACTTTGCAGGAGCCCTGGTGAGAGATGACGGTGCCTCAGAGGAGAATTACATCAGTGGAGAGGAATGAAGTGGTTGGATTCTGGGCATATTCTGGAGTTAAGGCCATGGGCAGTATTTCAATTGTGCTTCTGTTTTCTCATCTGTAGGATGAAAATAATGATACCTGCCTGCCCATCTCATAGAATTACTGGGGAGAGTCACTGTGAAATTGCTTCTCAATCCACAAAGCATCCCAGCATGAACTTGAGCTTCCTAATGGGAAGTCTGCATCTGGATGACACTCCCTACTTTCCAAATCAATCTCACCACCCAGCTTTCCTTCATCTTCATGACAGCCCTGGGAGGTAGGTGGCAGGAATCCTATTTTTTAGGAAAGGCGAATTGTAACTTGTTTGAGGAGAGACTTGTTCTAGGCAGTGGCACCCTCCAACACTGGTTGCAGACAATCTTAATAAAGTGGTCATTTCCCAAAACCTAGGCAAATCAGTCTCCATAAAAACAGGCTAAATCCATAGGACTCCTGGGGATGAGGGTGAGATCTCCAAAATCAATTCTGTCTAAACCAACCACATCAATCACACAGAATGTAGTGGATGAGAGAAAAGATGGCCCTAGCTGTGTTGTTAGAGTGGTGGGATTCTGAGTGATTAACTTTCTTTTCAGATTACTGGTATAATGTGTTCTCAATCAAAATATATCCTAAAAATCATCTCATTAGCCTTGCATCAGATTCATCACTTTGCTAAACATCTGAAGCAATGCATTCATTTACCCATTACCTGTTTTCTGAGCACTATGCTAAGTGCTTGATATTCTGTATTTCTGAGTAAGTCCAGACTCTTTGCAAAAAAAAAAAAAAAAGGAATTACATGATATTTAATGGAATATGTAAAAAATGAAATGATCTTTATGATGCAAAAAAAAAAATACTGAAAGCAATCTAAAGGCTCAGTAATGGAGGAGCACAGTACATCTTTAAAAAAAAATTGTTCAAAACTTGGAAACAAGGCAAAGAGAAAGCAGGATGTCCTCTGGATGTCACATTGTGGCATTGTTTAAGGGCCCTTCCAGGATCACTAAGTTATCTAGGAGAGTGGACCTCTGTCTGACTTGTTTTTATTTACTATTCATTAAAGGACTGTGTGTGTTCACTGTAGATTTCTGGTCCGTAGAGATGCAAATGACTTCACCTTGGTAGAAAGATAACTAAGAAATCTGGTCGGCTGGCCCCATGGGGCACTGACCACTTTTGCATCTGTCCCAGAACAAGATTTCCACACTCTTCTTCCAAGGCCTGTAACCACTCCTTTTCCTGAACTGGCTTCACCACTCCATTCACTGCCTCAAGAATGAACCCAATGAATCTTTGCCACATTCACCCCACGTTTGTATGAGAGTCATATTTTTAACTGTTTTAAGATTATAGTCCTGCGATTTCTTGATGGAATTTATAGTCATTAAAATCATGTTTTGGAAAACTTAACGATGTAGGAAATGCTCATTATGTGAAGTAGAAAATGCAAGAAACTGTACATATGGTATGGTTCCAATTTTATCAGTATATATTTATAGGAACAACACACACACAAAGACTGGAGAAAAGAGGAGAGACTAGGAAAGCAGCGGAAAGAGAAGCCAACAGCAGGGAAAGAAAGAAAGAAAAAAAAAAAAAAAACAGAGGAAAAAGCAAGACAGGGAGGAAGGGAAGCCAGGGAGGGGACCCGCCGCTCTCTGCATGCTCAGGACCTCTACCACCTCCCACAGCGGCGTACAACGTGGGAACAAAGCCGGGCTCCCGGGGGGCTCCCGGGCTGGGGTCGAAAGGGTGCAGCCCCGCGAGTTGCGGGGGGAGGGGGGGGGCAACCGCCAGGTCCCTGGACCACCTAGCTCACCCACCTCCATCGTCACCCCAGCCCCCTGCCCCGCCACTTACTTCTGGTCCATGCCAGCAGGGCGAGCGCCAGCAGGCAGCGCCGGGCGGCGCCCACACCCCCGGGCATGGTGGCAGCGGCCCCTCGTGCGCCCCGCGCTCACAAGCCCGCGGCCATGCCGGCACCCCAGCCAGGCGGCGGCGCGTCTGCAACCCACTGACCGTCCAGCGCCTCCCTGCCGGCTCTTAGCCATCAGAGATGCTCCGCCCTCAGCTCCGCGGGGCTCCGCGGGTGGAGGAGGGGACGCCCCGCCCGGAGGGGGTGGGAGGGACGCCAGGGGAGGAGCCGGCGGGACCCCTGGGGAATTCAGCGGGCTCAGGTGACCCTGAGCGGCGGAAGGAGAGTCCAGGCGCCCTGAGGGCTAAGGACTCACTCTAGGTGGGCGCGGCCTGGGGAGGGTCCTGGGCTTGGGCTTGCAGGAGTTAAGCTGGACCCGTTTAACGCTGGAACAGCGGCCCGTTCCTCCGTCCCGCACTATTCTAGACGCCTTGGGTGACACTGAGGCCACTCACTCAGCAGGTTAATGGAACCGCCAGGCACAAAGAGCTAAGTGCTATGTGGAGCTGTTTTCTTAGCAGGACGCAAATCAAGGAGCCATTCCCTCTGACTGGGAGGGGGGAGATGGAGCAGAGAGGATTCCCAGGACAGAAGACATCCGAGCTAGGGAGGAGGAGGATTGGAGCACCAGGCAGAGAAAGTGGCCTAGACAAAGGTGTTAGGGCGGGAAAGACCTTGAGCTGTACTGAGGGGAAGTTGGAATTTGGGATGGTTCGGATTAAAGTCTGTGGAGGGCTTACTTTCTGCAGGAATCAGAAAATAACTATAACTGAGGCTGGCATAGCCCTTACTGAGTACCAGACACTGTCCTCCGCACGTAACATCCCTTCATTTATTTAATTAATTAATCTAGGAAAAGGACTACCCTTTATTGCCTTTCAATATGTGCCAGGAACTCTGCATACATCATCTCTTTTCATTAGCCCCATAATTTCCTAGAGCAGGTACTAAGAGTATCCTGTTTTACAGATGAGAAAACCAGACCTAAGAGGCTAATTTGCTCAAGGTCAATTAGTCTTAAAGGTTCTTTCTCCAAAGAGTCATACTGGGGGTTAGGGCTTCTACATAGAAATTTGGGGGAACATAGTTCAGTCCATAATAGTCCATCCTCTGCTCCCCAAAATGCATGTCCTTCTTACATGCAAAATACATTCATTCCATCCCAATAGCCCCCAAAGTCTTAACCCATTCCACCATCAGCTACAAGTCTAGTGTCTCATCTAAATACCTAATTAGATATGGGTGAGGTTCTAGGTATGATTCACCCTGAGGCCAAATTTCCCTCCATCAGTGAACCTGTAAAACCAGGCAAGTTACTGCTTTCAAAATAGAGGTATAGGATAGACATTCCCATTCCAAAAGGGAAAAATGAGAAAGAAGGGTGACGGTTCAGAGTAAGTCCAAAACCTAGCAAGGCAAATTCCACTGAATCTTTTTTTTTTTATTGTTGACAGTATTACAGATGTCCCCCAACCCCCACCTTTTCCCCCTCCTCCCAGCCCCCTCCCCACCCCAGGGTTATGCACATTTGCATATCAGTTCTTTGGTTGATCCACTAAATCTTAAAGCTCCAGAATAGTCAGTCCTCTGGCTGGATGCTCTGCCTTCCAGGTAGCTGGGGCATCAGTGTCATCCCCGTGGCCCTAGGCAGTAGCCTTGCCCCTGTGGTTTTTTGCAGCAACCCTGCCCCTTGAGGCTCTAGGCCTGGGCAGCCTGGCTCCCAGAACCTAGGAGGGGGACTCACCCTCTGAAACCAAGAAAGAAAGAGCCTTGCCCTCTAGGCCTGTATGCTCTACGCCTGTAGAGGGAAGGAAGGGCAGCCCTGATGATCTCTGAATCACCCTCAGGGTCATTCTTCCCTTTCCTTGAAGGATAAAGCATGCCCAGTAACACCATTGTTCTGTCCTGTAGAATCACAGGAGCCCAAAAGCCTTTCTTATTTCGTCCTGACTCTGTTCCCTTTGGTCCAAACTAGTTCTCAGCTGGTATACTCGCATCTCTATTCCTGGCTTCTGTTAAAATGGCTGGTTAACTGCATTGGTCATCTTATTGCAACAGTCTTGGTGTCCTATAGGTCCTTATCTCCAAATACAGTGGCTTCAACATATGGATGGAAGTAGGGGACATAATTTAGTCCATAACAGGGGCTTTCCCCCCAGAGCCATGAAAGTAGGATTCTAGTCCCAGCTCTCTCCAACCAGCTCTGTGACTTTGGGTAAGTCACTTCTTTCTGGGCCTGGATGTCTGACCAATGACCTGGGAATGGGAATGGCTACCCCGATCCATCTCACCCAAGAGCTATGAGAAGCTGTTCAGATAACGGTGGTGAAAGTGCTGTACCAGGCAACAAATGCTGAAATGTCAAGTCTAACTGATTCTATGGACCATCTACTTGCAAAAGGCATGCAAACTCCATACTTGAAATTTGTTTCCATTTGCTGGCACTCAGCTGATCAGTATTTAATCAGCATGTACCCCTGAACATTGGGAAATGGCTCACAAGAGAAAAAGTCTGGTGGTTATGGAACTTTGACCAAGGAGTGATAAAGTTTCTATTCTGTTTCTTATCCACCCCCTTCGCAGTTATACACAGGCACAAACATATACAGAACTTTTGACCCCCTTGGAAGCCTTCCCATTTACTTGTAAAGAATGTATTTGTTGTTTTTTAAAAATACTACATCTCTACATAGTTTTTTAAATCTTCATGACATATAACTACTAATTACATTTCTGGGAAACTATCCTAAAAATAAGATAATCTGCAATGCACACAAAGATTTATGGACTAGAATGTTCATAGTGGTGCTATTTATAATAACGAAAATATTGGAAACAACCTAAATATCAAATTGTGAAAGAACAGTTAATAAATTACAGAATAACCATATGATGGATTACTGTGAAGGCATTTAAAATAACTTTTACAAAGAGTTTATGCTCTGATGTTAAATGAAAAAAAGCAGGGTCCAAAATTACATTTAGATATGACCTCAGCTATGTAAATAAGACATTTTAAAAAAAGACTAAGAGGAAATGTGCTAAAAATGTTTGTAGTGGTTACCTCTAGGTGGTGAAACTTTGGATGAATGAAAGTTTTTGGGTTTTTGGTTCAGCTTGTTTTTTTTGTTGTTGTTTTTTGTTTTTTTTTTTGCTTGCTTGTTTATTTTCATGTGTTTTTTTTCTCTCTTAGTTCCTACAATACTTAGGTATGACTTTAGTAATGGGGGTGGGTGGGTAAATTGTAAAGACAGGAAAAGAACTCAGAAGGAATAATAGTTTATCCTGGTGGCTTAGAAAGTTTTGCATACTTGACTTCTCTCCTCTCATGTTAGGGAAACTGAGGCAGGGTTAGAGCAACAAGTTTCAAACTTCTGGAGTCCAGGTGACCCAGGTCACTGTTCCCATCTACAGTACACTAAAATGGTTAGGAGGTGACCATTCCTGCCAGGGTTTAAATCCTTTTGCTGTCCTTAACTGGCTGTAGGACCAGGGGCAAAAAAAAGCTTTTCTGTAACTTTGTTCCCTCATCTATAAAGGATGCTGATAATGGTAGTTCCTAGTTCAGGAAAGAGTGATGATAGGGAATCCTATATAATAAAAGGCTAATATGCAAATTGTCCCCTCAGGTGTTTGACCAACCAGGCATTCGACTGCTTGCTATGATGTGTGCTGACCACCAGGGGGTAGTGCAGAATGAAGGAAGGCCCCACCTGGCAGCCGGAAGGCCCTGATTGCCGGCCAGGCCTAGGGACCCTACCTATGCACGAATTTCGTGCATTGGGCCTCTAGTATATATAATGAAATCACTTTAACCAAGCTAATAAATTGTTAATTAACATTATGAAGGTTGAGTCATTAGGAAAAACTCCATTCTAACTAGCCCAGGAACTTAAATTTTTTAAGTATTCCAGTCCTGCATGAACATCAGACTTCCAGATAACCCTCTAATTGTCCCCTGAAGGAGTTACAGATCCAGGCCATCTGATTACCACCTGACTCAACAGATACACCCCCTTGACACCCATTATCCAGATGCCCGGTCTGACCAGAGCTCCTGGCTCCACTCATCCTGCCTGCCTGACATCTGTCTGATCGCCATCCTGGAGTGATCTTAGAGCTGAGCATTCAGGACTGATAATTCCAGAGAACGTACTTTTTACTAGAATAACTTTTAACTTTCCTTTCTCCTTTGGAACATTTCTGGGGTTTTGCCTAGCTGTGCTCCCAGTTTGCAAACTATCAGACCCTTGAGTAAATCTTTATCATTTATTTCTAGCAAAGCCTCCGGACATTTTGAGTTCACTCAACATAGCTCATTGAGTTTTTGTGAAGCTTAAATGGGTGCTTAACGTAGTACCTCTCACATAGTAAGCAGTCATATGCTAGCTTTTATGATCTTCCTTCTACAGCTAATAAGCACGGGGTGGGGAACATATTTATAACGCTTAGTTTTTGCTTTTAGTTGCGTAATGTGTGAAGAGCCTAATTATATACTGATTCTTTCATGATTATCAGAGATAATGATCAGGTCATACTGCAATTGTTTTTTTCTTACCCCACCCCCACTACACGTTAGCCCTTTGTGAATAAGAGCTGGACCTTCTCCTAGTCTCATCCTCCCAGCACGATACATGTTTAATTAAATAAATTATTAAGTGATTAATAATAGTTATTTCATTCTGGCTCTGCACAAACTTTCAAGTTACTCACGGGAGAATTGTCTTCATTGGCCCATACTTTGAGAATAATGTTGGCCCTGTGATAATTTGCTATCATTTTCCCAGCAACCAGCACTTTTTTAAAGTTCAGTTTATTCAAGTATAATTTACATACATTAACAGTCTCCATGTTTTTCTTTTTTTAGTAAACATGGCTCTGCGTTTTGGCAAATGCCTATGACCAAATAACCTCTTCCACAATCAAGATCACCCCAAAAATTTCCCTCCTGTCTCCTGTCACTCCCAGGCCCTGGCAATCACTGATCTGCTTCATGTTCTTACAGTGTTGCCTTTAACATAATGTCATATATAGGGAACCATAAAAAATGTAGCCTTGTGAGTCTGGCTTCTTTCACTCAGCATA